CCATAGTTCTATCTCTGGATATGGATAGTATTTTCCATCATGAGTCTTTTGGAATTATCTTAGATCCCTGCATTGCTGAGAAAGTTGTCTATCAAAGTTGGTTATCATACAATGTTGCTCGTACTGTTCACAATGTTCTCCTGGTTCAGCTCACTTCACTCAGCATCAATTCATGTAAGTCTTTCCAGGTTTTTCTGAACTCTACCTGCTCTTCATTTCTTATAGCACAGTAGTATTCTATTCCATTCATATACCACAACTTGTTCAGCCATTGCCCAATTGAAGGGCATCCCCTCCATTTCCAATTCTTTGCTACTGTAAAAAGAGCTACTATAAATATTTATGTATGTCTGGGTCCTTTTCCCTTTTTAATTATCTCTTTGGGATATAGACACAGTAGTAGTATTGCTAGATCAAAAGGTGTGCACAATTTGATTGCCTTTTAGACGTGGTTCCAAATTGCTCTCCAGAAAGATTGAATCAGTTCACAACTCCACCAACAGTGCATTAGTGTCCCAATTTTCCCACATCCTCTCTAACAGTTATCATTTTCCTTTTCTGTCATATTAGCCAATCTGAAAGGTGTGAGGTGGTACCTTAGAGTTGATTTAATTTGTATTTATTTAATTAATAATGATTTAGAGCATTCTTTTCATATGATTATAGATAGTCTTGATTTTTTTCATCTGATAACATCTGTTCATATCTTTTGACCTTTATCAATTGGGAAATGACTTGTATTCTTAAAATTTGACTTAGTTCTCTCTATATTTTAGACATTAGGCCTTTAGCAGAGACACTTGCTAGAAAAATTGTTTCCCAGCTTTCTGCTTTCTTTCTAATCTTGGTTGCATTGGTTTTGCTTGTGTAAAAACTTTCTTAAATTTAATATAATCAAAATTATTCATTTTGCATTTTGTAATGCTCTCTATCTCTTGTTTGGTCCTAACTTCTTCTCTTCTCCATAGATCTGAGGTAAACTGTTCATTTCTCCCCTAATTTGCCAGTGGTATCACCCTTTATGATTTTGACCTTATCTTGGTACACAGTGTGAAATGTTGGTCTATGCCTAGTTTCTACTATGCTACTTTCCAGTTTTCCTGGCAGTTTTTGTCTAATAGTGAGTTCTTATCACAGAAGATGGAGTCTTTTATCAAATACTAGATTACTATGGTTATTTAATACTGTGTCTTGTTTACTTAATCTATTCCACTGATCCACCACTCTGGGCCAATACCAAATATTTCTGGTGACTGCCACTTTATAATATAGTTTAAGATCTGCTTTGGCTATGCCATATGATAGAATTTGTGCACAGCCTTGTTCTATGCTAAAATAAGGTATCCCAGGAAGATTTTATGGACTTTGTATTCAGCAGATCTCCCCCTCCTGCCACTTTTTATAGATCTTCAAAGTCTCTCAAACTGGCTCCAAAACAAAGAAATCCTAACTGCTAATATTATCTTGCCTGATTCAGTCTAGGATTCTCCAGGGCAGGACACAAGACAGGCTGGGAGGTCCTGCCCCATCACTTTGGGCTGGGCTGAGAATGAGGCAGAACTGCATTTGAATTCCATTTCCACCAGGCACTTGCAGAGTGACCAAGAACAGGTTATCTCCTCCTCTCTGGCTTTCAGTTCCCCTCCTTGTAAAATGTAGGGTTTGGGCTAGGCTCATGCAATGTTTAAGCCTAAGGTGAATTTTCTCCCATCAAGGATGGAGGAAAACAAAAAACAAGCATTTGTTAAGCACCTACTCTGTGCCAGGCATTGTACTAAGCATTTTACAAATAACATCTCATTTGATCCTCACAACAACCTTGAGAGGTAGGTGCTATTAAAATGGGGTTTCCCATTTTATAGATGAAGAAACTAAGGCAGACAGAGGTCGCACAGCTAGTAAGTGACTGAGGCCAGATTGGAAGTCAAATTTTCTTGACTCTAGGCCCAGTGTTCTATCCATTGCACCACCAAGCTGTGAGGGGACTCCAGGTCCTCACAGGCTCTCAGCATCCCCTCTCTGTCCCTCCATGGAGGTGCCCCTAATGAAGAAGTAGGAAGATGCCTGTGCATGAAGATTAACAAGGATAAAGCTACCAGAGAGATATAGAGTGAAGGTGAGAGGGTGGGGAGGTGAAGGCAGGAGAGGGATGAGGAGAGTGAAGAGCAAGTACTAGAAAGAAGGAGGTGCCATCAGTGAACTGAGAAAAGAGAAGAGAGGAGGGACAGACAGACAGACAGACAGAAAAAGGAATCTCTGAAATTATCTAGTCTAACCTCCTCATATTTTCCCCAAAATCTTTTCTTTTTGTTGAAGCAGTGGAGGTTGGTGGGAGGAGCATCATGGTGGATTGGAGCTCACTCCACAGAGCATACTTGCGTATGGGTTGCAGGGGAGGGGTTGAGACACCCCATGGATCATGTGTAGCTCTGAGCCTGAACCCTGGATACTTCTGGAAAGATATGTGCTCTGGTCTCTTGTGGAACCACTGGTTGGTACCCGTGCCATCTCCCCACCCTCACCTATGATTGGGAAGGGACACTTTGTCAAAGAGAATTGGCTACTGAGCAGCAAGAGTGGTCCACTCATTAGACTTTGGGGGAAGAGGCAACTTTTGTTCTCATCCTCTCATGCATCTTTTCCTTGGACTTTCTATGGGGAGGAAAGGAACTGCCCCTTTCCTCTCTTCAGCAGCTAGTGTCAGCTGCAGCATGTGGTCATCTAGGTGAGCCTGAGGCAGGAACTCAAAGCTGTCACTGCCTCTCCTGCTTTGGGTTTCTTTCTTTGAGCACAGGTATGTTTAGCCTGGAGAGGAATAGGCTCAGGGGAGAAGTGAACACTGTGTTCAAGTGTTATGCTCTTATGTAGAAAAGGGATTACATCTGCTCTATTTGGACCAGAGGGAAGGATAATATATGTAGAAATCACAAAAAGAAAAAAAGATTCATTTAAGTTTGTTCTTAAGAAAAACCTACTAACAGGTCTGTCCAAGGTAGAATGAGCTTCCTGGCAAGGTGTTGGGATCCCCTTCCTTAAGGATTTCAAGCAGAAGCTGCATGACCACTTGTCAGGGATGTTGCAGTGGGGAGATTGCTTCACTGGATGGGATGACTTACATGGCCCTGCAGGCCCCTTTCACTTCTCCAACTCTGTGGTTCTGATGAGGTCTAGAGGTTTAGGGGTGCTGAGACCCCAAGATCATGACACACAGGTCCTGCCTGAAAAAATTCAATGCAAATCTTCTTTCAGCCAGAGACAGAGTTTTAATAGGGATGGGCCATACAGGCCAGACTCTTAAACAATCTGAACATTAGTGTCACCCCTAAAATCAAGAGGGCATGAGGAAATCTTAGAGTTTAAATGGGGGCCAGGGTGGATCTTATATACATTCAAATAATTTTGGGTGTTTGGAGGAGGGGCTGGGAGAAAGATCCTGAAGCTGGGGTGAGTTTAGGGAGAATTCTGATGGGAATGTCTGGGAGGTTGAATAGACTATGGGAATAGATAATGAAGGGACTGGAAGGAAGAGGTTTGAATGAGATCTGGATAAGATCAAAGGTAGGAAATACACTAGGGTCAAAGACTAAGTAAGCTTCATTAGGTTTTCAAAGGGAGATAGGGAGAAAGGCCATTGAGTGGAGTAAAGCCTCAGGTAACTGTTTGAGACCAGAGTGAAGTCAAAGAAAGTTTAGGGGTTTTCTGGGGCCCGTAGACAAATGGGACCCAAATTCTTTTTGGGGCGAGGGGCAAAGGTCTCAGCTTGGGCCCATTTCACATCAGTTCTTCTTCTGTCACTAATCTTTGTTAACAAAATTTTAAATGTAGTCTGGACAGAACTCATCTCTAACCTGTGAATACCTGGAGCCCCACGAAGCAGGCCAGATACAGGAACACCAGGAAACAAGTAGTGGTTTAATAAATCGATATCTGAATGAGGAATGCTCTCTAAACTGGAGCAAAGGCACAGGTTATATATATAAATCACAAAGGGGAAAGGGGGGGTTGGGGGAGGACTACAAACAATCATTTCCAGGGCCTGAGTGGTTTCCCACAATAAGCCCACAAGTGCAGGACCATGTGGGTGTTCTGGAGTCCTGTGGGAAAAGTATTTTTTCAAGTCTTTGGGGGCCATTACATGGTGGGGCATAGGAGCATACCTTTGTGACTGGAACAGGTTCTACAATCTTTGATTGGCTTCACTTAACACACTGGCACAGGAATGTAGTGATTGTCAGAGCATTGTCAAGGGTTTGATTGATCATTTCAAATTGTATTGTAAGTCTCTGACTCCCAAGCCAGAGTCTCTTGAGAAATCAAAATTATCAGTATATTCATTACATGTATCATATCAATAAATATGAAAATCATAATTCCCTTCCCATTTCCTCCTTTAAGTCAAAAATCAGAATGTTGTGTGGTTTATCCTTCATTCTCAAAGAGGACCATGACATTAGGAAAATGATGCCATGAATTGCAAGTGAATTGGTTTGAAGTGAGGGAGGGCTGTGCAAAGTCACCAGCCTCACTTTCTCCTCCAGAGCCATCTGGGTCCAGTGGCCAGACATAGATCAGGACAACTGGAGATGGCCCAGGATCTAGTGGGAGACTTTGTCTTTTTTAAGCTAAAGTCTTTTCCTTTTCTCATTTTGACTGAGGCAATGTCCACTCAGTGATTAGGTCTGTTTAAAAAGTGAGCCAAGAGATGGCTCCTTTAATCCAAAAAAAAAAAAAAATCTAACCGGAAGGTGAAAAGCCTCAGGGTTACTAGCCCAAAGAGAAACAATTACCATTTGCTCTGAGCCAAGGGGGCCCAAACAATAACCATTAAGTGGTGCTTGGGTAAGGACCCAAGGTTGGTCAATCAATGAGAGCTAGAGGGAATTGGGTTTAAGTCATGGGCTTTAAGAAAGAAATCTAGCCAGTAAACCCCAAGATAACTAGATAGGTTTCAGCCTTCAAAATTTACCTTCTTTTGGGCAGAGCACCCTCAGGTAAGGGGCATGATATCCCATGTAGGAAACAAAGCGGAGAGGAGAGGAGAGGAGGAAGGGAGGAGAGGAGACAGGAGGGGAGAAGAGAAGAAGAGAGAAGAGGGGAGGAAGAGAGAGGAAGAGAGGGGAGGAGAGGGGGGGGGGGGGGGGGGGAGAGGGGGGGAGGGGAGGGGAAGAGCTGAGTTGCACAACTGGAAGTAGCTAGTTGGGTCCCCAGTGGGGCATCATGGACTACTCACATGTTGTGGTTTGTCCTTCATTATTGAAGAGGACATTAGGAAGATGACGTCATGACTTGGATGTGAATTGGTTTGAAGAGAGGGAGGGCTGTGCAAAGTCACATGCCTCACTTTCTCCTCCAGAGCCATTTGGAGATAGTACTTCCAGTAGACCCAGTCACCCAGTTGGAGAAGGGGCTGTCTTGGTTAGAATTTCTACAGAATGGGAGTGTGAGACAAGTTGGTAAGTATCTAGTGTTTTCTGAGCCAACCCAATACAGTATTGTAGGAGGGGGCCTTTGGCTATTATGCTTCCCACCCACAGGTACAGTGGCATTGGGCGTCCTGTTACTATCTCATTGGGACTGAGCTTATGGGAACCAAATGGTCTAGATCTAAGGCCTAGCAGGGCTAAACAAAGGGCTTTGGGCCAGGGATATCTAGCTCCTTGGAGAATTTAGCAAGGGAGGTTTTAAGTATCCCATTAACTCTTTCAACCATTCCTGATGACTGGGGGTGATAGGCACAGTGGAGGTGCTGAGTAATTGGCCAGGATGAAAGCAGTTTGGCTAATGAAGCTCCTGTGAAACAGGGGCCTCTGTCACTATGTATTTCCTTAGGAACCCCCCATAATGGAATGGTCTTTTTAAAGAGGATTTATTACCCAACAGGAGAGCATATAGATCATAACCAAAGCATATTTGTAACCACGGGAGGATGACAATTGAACGAAGTCTATCTGCCAGGTTTCAAAGGGTGAATCTGGGAGAGGAAACTGCCCATGGGCAGGCTTCAGAGGCTTGAATGTATTGTGCTTGGGGCAGGTGGGACACATCTCATAGGCAGCGACAGAAGCCCCATGAAAACTCCGCCACCAATATTTTTGGGCTAGCTTTGCTAGCTTATAGGGTCCCCAATGGCTAAGTGAATGAAGGTATTCCATCATAGGGAGGAATACGTTCTTAAGAGTACTTGAAGTCTGTTTGGGCAGATTCATAGTACCTTAGTTTTCTCAAGCTTATATCCCTCCTTTTGAAGCTTTTCTTGTTTTGTCATAAGCATTCTTTTCTAGGCTGTGGCTTTTCTTCTTTTGTTAGGCTAAGAGGCTTAGGCCAGGCCCTCTAGTCCAGATGGATATGCAGCTAAGGCCTTACTTATGGGCATGGTGAAAGTTCCACAGGGACCTGTACTATGGGAGCCACTCCCTCAAGAATTTGAGGAATTAAAGCTGCTGTTTTAGCTACTTGGTCAGCCAGGTCATTTCCGTGGGCATGAATGACATTTTCTTGGCTGTGCCCTGGAATTTTAATTACTGCTACTGCCTGGAGAAGGAGGAAACAATCTAACAGGTGGGAAACCTGTTTCTGATTTTTAATGGGCTGTCCTGAGGAGGTGAGGTAGCCCTGATGATTCCATAGTATCCCAGAATCATGTGCCACCTTGAATGCATGAGCTTCAACCCCTTCTCTGGCAGTGGGAGATGCCATGACCAGCAGCCAAATCTCCCTCCTCATTTCTGAGGCAGGATCCATCAGTGTACCAGTCAAAGTCTGCTCCTTCTAAAGGAGTTTCCTTCAGGTCTTCCTGGAGGGAAGCAAGACATCCAAATAAATGACACAGTCATGGTCTAAAGTCTCATCCTCATTTTCCACCTCAGGTAGATAGGTGGCAGGATTGAATGTGCTTACACCAACTACATTCCCTCCTTTCTCAGAGGTGAATAAATCAAATGGGAGAGCCAACTGCACAATAGATGGGCACTCCTAAATGACCCGATATCAGCAGCATCTGAAGCCCACAACCTGGAGAGAACTGAGTTGAAAGCTGGATGGCCAGAAGGGGTTAAGGAAGAGAAACCTAAAGGAATGGGGACACTTCCAGATGGGGAGGGTGTCTGGGATAAAAGACACAAGGAAGTGCTTCCTCCGGGGTCAAATATATAGTGGCCTGTGGTTTATGGAGCAGATCATGTTCCAGTCAATAGCTAGGGACTTCAAGGACCAGGACAAAAGGATGAAAGGTGCTGATCTCTCCAATAAAAAGGGAGAGTGATTCTGAGATATGGACTACTATGGTCTTGTTAGCAATTCCCAGGACTGAGATACACTCTTGACTCCAGGGGAGGGAAGTGGGGAAGGCAGAGAGTGCGGCACCATTGTCAACTAGAGCAGATGCCTCTTGCCCCTGTATGAACAAGGAGACATCTCCAACAGGAGTCATGGGGATAACTGGCATGGCCTGCACATCCCCCTCCTTTTGCCACCCTTCCTGCCAGTCTTCCCCAGAGCCAAGTCATGCTGAGTGATCAGGATTGCAGGGAAGGTCCCTCGATGCTTTCTGGGGTGCTTTCTCTTTTTTCTCTTCACCTTCTACCCTAGGCCCCATTTTACAACCCGTCCTCCAGGGGCTGAGTTTTCTACAAGTAAAACAAACTCCTCCCCTGATTGATTTTGATGGCACAGGGAGGGGGACAGTAAGGGATGGGATGGTAAGGGATGGGCTGGGGATGGTGAGGAATGGGCTGCAGCTGCTGCAGAGGGGTTACAAGGAAAACATTTCTTTTTGCTTCTCTAAGTTCCTTTTTACTATTTTCACCCTTCTCTGCCAGAGTACCTGCCAGGAGGGCTGTGGTCTCAAGGAGGAAGCCAGCTTCAGAGTGGTCAGCTTAATTTGTTTAGAGATGGGTGGGCGAAGATAATTATCAAAGAAGAAAAGAATCTGAACTTGCTCCACCACGCTATCTTGCCAGAGGAAGTCTGTCACAAGGCACATGCCCTTTCTGGGGGAGAGTTGATGGGAAGGGCTGCTCTCTCCCCTTTGTCCTTTCCCCTCATTTGGCCCATTTTAAAGGTAAAGACTCAAAGATAATAACCCCACTTAACTAAAAAGCACATACAATACAAGCACACTATAAAGGGAAACAATAACACACATACACAAATACAAGTAACCCACACTGTGCTAATAATCCACTTGAATTACACAAGTAAACATCCCATACTTCTAACCAATAGCCCAATTAAAATGTTGATTTCCACCAGTTCTAAACACATGCCAAACCAACCCTGTTATCAATTCTTAGGCAAACAAAATTTGATGATTGCAGCATATAAAAATACAAACTGAGAATGTTGATTCACTGATTCATCTACTCTATTCCAATCAATATTAATCAATTTGATGTGATTCTATAGGGGTAGTGATAATAAGTTCTGTATATTTGGCACCAGAGCTATGAGCTGCAGATTGTAAGATCACTTGCTTAATCATAAGTTAAGGCCCACCATAGAGGCCCACCACTTCTGTTTTTCCTTATCATGGTGACCAGCCCATAGGGGCTGAGATGACTCAACCATACGGAAAGCCCCCCAGTTTTGTTTTTGAGCCTCCAGACCATTCTCTCTTGTCCAGCATGAGCAGGTGACCATCTTATGATCACTTAGTCAGCAGAGATGCCCCATGCTTCACCCAATTTGTGACCTCCCTGCTAATATGTCATTTTTGGCCCTCAAGAACAAGGTCCATCAAACAATGACATTCTGTATTTTGCCATGCCTCTTTTGCATATTCGGACAAGAATAAGCAATGTACTAATCCATACTTGGTATAAATCACATAGGAATATGGTTTCTAATGCAAGGGTCCTATAATAGTCCTCAAACTTTAATGAAATCTTCATTTCTTGCTGTGAGGCTATGTGATTTGTCCTTCATTCCTGAAAAAGACCATAACATCACAAAGATGATGCCATGATTTGCAAGTGAATTGGTTTGAAGTGAGGTAGCACTGTACAAAGTCACCAGCCTCAATTTCTCCTCTGGAGCTGTCTTTAAATTATTTGTTTACCAGCTGAGGAGCTCACTTGTGCAACCATAAGAATGCTAACAAAGATATGTCTATCCCGTTTTGCTAAATTCCATGACCAAACCAAGCACGGGTTGTGGCAAGATATGGAAAGCACCCCCTCCCCATGTTCTTAGAGTGTATGTATAGCTCCTTCCTAACCTAAGGAGAAGCCCATCCATCTTGTGACCACTTGGTCAGTGGAGATATTTCCTGCTTTGCCCAACCTGTGACCCTGCTGATACATTGTTTGCTTATTTTAGCCTATGAATCATGTGTGCACCAATGGAATTATTCTGGATTTGGTATAGCTACTCAAGAATTTCTATGTATCTAGCCCTGTAAAAATTGAGCCCTAGAAAGAGGGGGTATCTCAGATGGTGAGGAAGATCTGAGGTCCACTTCATTAGAGAGGACTATGGACCCTTTAATAAAGGGCCATTGGCTCAGAGCTCTGCCTCAGTCTCTCAGTGTAGGTTAGATACCTTTTATTGCCACAAAACAAAAACAAGACCACAAAAAAAAAAGTATACCAAAAATATTTGTCAGTCTGTGTACCAAAAAACAGAAGAACAACACAGAGCAGAGTGCTTCCCAGTCCACCACCTTATGCCTCAGATGACCTCAAAGGGCCCTTTCATTTCTACCATCCTCTGATCCTACAGAAGACAGGAGAGGAGAGTGTGCAGTAAGGTGTCAGCTAAGCCCATCAAGTTCCAGCACCTGGGGCAATGTGGTTCAGTGGAAAGACGTGTGGTCTGAGAATTTGAGAGGAGGAAGAAGGCCGGAGGAAGGAGGGATCAAGGGGACCCTGAGCAGTGGAGGGGTGGGACAAGCCATGGGCAGGGCTCTGGCAGGGACAAGTTGTGGAGCACCAGGTGTGAGAGCAGAAGGCAGGTGTGCATCCTCAGCATGTGGCAATGGGCTCGAAACCTCTGGGAATCCTCACGAACCCAGTTATCACACATTCAAGGTGTTGGTCTATCTACGGCCATTCTCAGAAGCAGTGGACCCAGGTCAGTCCAGAGTACACGGGGACACCTCTGCTCTTTCCTGGCCCTGACCTCTCCTTCTGCCCCCCAACTTTCTCCTGCCCTCTTCTCCAGTTCTGCTTTCCCTGCACTAATTCCTTTCCTTTCCTGACTTCCTCCCTCCTTCCTCCAAGCTTTCCTTCTCCTTGTGGTCCTCCCTTACTTCCCTTCACCTTACCCACTCATCTTCATTCTCTCTCCCCCTTACCCTGCTTTTCTTTCCTCCAGACCCTTCTCTCCCTTCCTCCTCCCCTCTCTCCCTCTCTCCTTTTCTTCCTTCTTACATCCCTTCAGTTCACCTCTCTCCCCTTTATCCATCCTTGCCTTCCCTTGGTCAGCCCTCCCCTCTTTCCCTTCCTCTCTTCCTACATGGACCATCCCAGCTCTCTTCTTTCTCTCCCTTCTCCTGTTTTTGCTTCTCCCAAACCTCACCTCTTTCATCTCCTCCTCCCTAGCATCCCCCCGACATCCACTTGCTCTTCCACCCCACACCCTGACTATTCCTCCTGTGGATGAATGTGCACACTTCTCTATCAGAGGCACCTGCATGGGAGAGATAAGAGCTCAAGAGACCCTGTATTCCTGTACTATCCCATGTTCCTACACATCTCCTGATGTGATCCATCCCTCCTCCTCTGCCCTCCTCTCTCCTCGCCCTGGCCAGGCCAGTTCCCCTCTCTTACAGGCTCCTGGATGGTCAGGACACTCTCCCACCTGTTGTCTTCCTGCACGGGCTGTTTAGCAACAAAAACATCTTCCAGGCTGAGGCTGAGGCCTTGGCAAAGCAAACAGGCAGGAAGGTAAAGATTTCCAAAAGTGGTTGAGGTGGAAGACAGGACAGTCTTTGGGGAGGGACAAAGTCAGAGGAAGCGGGGAAAGAGAGAATGTAGGCGGATGGGGGAGGTTGAAATGAGAGACAGGAGCTGTCAAGGTGGGATAGACCTTCACTCAAAGGGGATGACTTAAGGGGCACCAGGAAGTCTACCTACAAACTGCCACTGGATGCAATGAGTTCCTTCTCACAGGAGACTTTCATGCAAAGGCCAGATGATCACTTGGTGGGGAGATTTTTGTTCAGCCAAAGGTTGGACCAGAGGTCCCTTCCAGCCTGGAGATTTAGTGAAGGTCTCCTTCCCCCTAAATAATCTCTTCTACTGACACCTGGAATTCTAGTCATCTTGGAGGTGTCACCATGGCTCAATTGAACCTTTTTTAAAAATTCGTCTTAAATGGCACACATTCCTAGTAATGAATAGTAACTGTAATACCTTTATGTTAATGAAGTTACTCTCTTGTAGTAACCTGAAGTAACTTTACTAGTTACCTTCTTTCCTAACATTAGAAAGTAAAAGGAAATAGAAGAAATCTGAAAGTCAGGGAAAGAGGGAATCAGTGACCCAAGAACCAGAGTGTAGATGGGCCAGTATTGGTATGTATGGCCAGTATGGGAAGGGGAACAGAATATTTTCCTTTCTAATGCTCTTATCCTACTGTGTTCCCATCTTCCCCTCTTTTTCCTATTGTCAGGAACTGCTCAGTAGCCCCTGGCTTCCTGAACAGTCTTCAGGTAGCCTCCTCTAGCTGCTGGCAATGGGTCAGCACTCCCAGGATGGAGAGGGAAGGAGGAGGAATCAAGTACACTGGTAACTCCAAGTCTCTGCCCCCCAGGTATTGACAGTGGATGCTAAGAGCCATGGAGAGAGCCCTCATAGCCCTGACTGCAGCTATGAGGCCATGAGCACTGACCTGCAGGCTCTGCTGTCGAAGCTAGGACTCAGCCCCTGTGTCCTCATCCGGCACAGCATGGGAGGCAAGACAGCCATGGCGCTGGCACTGCAGAAGGTGAGGGAGCCCCGCTAGGGCTGAAGGGGCAGAGGGTCATACCTGTCCACAGACAACAGCAGCCTGTAACCCCATAAGCAACACCAAAGATTCATCATACTCAGCCAGCTGCTTGTGGGGTTGGGGGTGGAATGAGGCTGTGAGTGAACACTGGGACAGAAAACAGACAGTTCCTGGGGGAATAACATGAGCTTTACTGTACACACTTCATCTTTCTACATCCTAATGGACTGAAGGGAAGTTGTGGATGCCTCCCCCGGGCCTGGGAGATTTCAGGGTTCAGAGTCAAGTTCTAAGAACTTTTCCTCATAGATGTCACCACCGCTCCATGGCTAACCCAGAGCATGCAAACAGGAAGGCTGGCATCAGGACCACTTACAGGCTATGGAATGGGCACCTATCTATAGTCCCCCATCCCTCTCCTTCAGGGACCATGGCTCCCACTTTATCTGCTCTAGTACCATCACTAGGTGCATGGAAGAGGAGGGAGGCCATTGTTCCCTGATCATTGTGTGATGGACTTTCTCCTTTAGCCAGAGCTGGTGGAACGTCTGGTCTCAGTGGATATCAGCCCCTTGGTGGCCACCGACATGCCAAAGATCTTTAAAATTGTACCTGCTATGAAGACTATAAACATCCTTGGAGATGTTTCCAACTCTGAAGCTTTTGAAATAGTTGATGAGTATCTGAAGCTATTTGTCAAGGTGATCCTTCAGGACCCCCAGGGTTGAGGGTATGGACATGGGCTGCTGAAGCCACAAGCCAATCATTTGAGTTTGGAATCCTCAGGAGAGTGGAGGTGGGGTGGAGTAGAATGCAGCCCAGAAGGAGAAAATCTCGGGGGGGAGGGAACAGGTTAAGGAGAACAGAGAAGGCTTCAATTATGAGCTCCTCCAAGGCCAGCCCTATCTTCTGCTTTTCTTTGTATTCTCAGCACTTTCTATATTGACTGGAGGCATTTACTAAATGTTTGTTGACAAAAAGGGAGACGGTGTTTAGAAATGAGCTGGAGTCTAGTCTGAGTAGGACTCAGAAAGGGATGGGATTGGTGGGGAGAAGACAGGAGCTCAGGTGGGTGTGCCAGCTAAGCCCTTGCACCTTCCAGGATTCAAGTATTCGGCAGTACCTGTTCAACAGTCTGGTGCGGGTCAACGGACAATATGAGTGGAAAGTCAATGCTGAAAACCTGTGGCAGCAGCAAAACTCATTTCTGGATAGTCTTCAGATCCAGGGCATCTATCATGGCCCCACACTCTTCCTCAGAAGCACCAATTCGTCCTTCATCCCGTAAGGCAGGACCAGAACGTGGAGGGGAATGCCTAGCCCCAAAGACTTCTGCCTTTCTTGGGCCCCAACTGGGTTCTCCATCACAAAGGATGAGAGCACCTGGGGGCATCACCTATGCTTGGGTTCAGGAGGGGAAGTTCCCTCCAGCACTGGGAGATAACATGTATATTATCACAACTTACGCCTTTCTGTCTGCCTAGCCTGTTTTTCCTCCTGTCACCTCCCATACCCACTACTCACCCTCTAACCAGAGACTGCTTGTCTCTAACTCTCTGACTCATCTTTTACCTTCTTTCTGTCCTCTCTCTGCCTCCTTCTCTCTCTCTGTCTCTCTGAATCTCTCTGTCTCTGTCTCTCTGTATCTCTCTCTTTCTCTCTCTCTCTCCCTTTGTCTTTCTGTCTCTCCCGTTGCTGTCTTTCTTTCCCCTCTCCTTTCTTCCTTTCCTTTTGTGTCTCATCCCATACCCCTCTCCCTCTTTCTCTTTCCCCCTCTCTTCCACCCTCTCCTTACCTCTGTCCCTCTCTTCACCTCTTTAATTCTCTCTCTTTCTCTCTTGCCAGACCAAGTCACTATCCCAAGATCAAGCTCCTGTTCCCTGAAGCTCAGTTCCAGACCTTGCCTGATACTGGCCACATCCTCCATATCAAGAAGCCCCAAGAGTTTCATGAACAGTATCCTCAGTTTCCTGTCCTAGAAGATGTTCCCTCTCTCCACATTCCACTTTCCAACTTTCAAACACTCAGAGAGCCCTAGGCTCTTCCTTCACTTGGAACCTTTCTTTTAAAAAAAAAAAAAGAATCTTTTTCTAATTCATAACTGAACAAACACCAATCACCATGAACATTCCCATAGGAAAAGAATAAGAGAAAAAGAGAATTGTCAAAATGGTGAATCTCTGTTATAAACAGCTTGGGTTTTTTTTTTAATCGTATGATAAATTCAACATGTTAATTTCAAAGTTGTCTTCTTATCTTCAGCTCCCACCAAACTTTCTTCTGTTCTCTGCTCTGCAATTTTTACATGTTTCAATGACCCACTTTCTTTTCTTTTTTTAGAAAAATAAATACTTTTCTTGTGACCTTGATAGGTAGTAACAAAAATAAACATTTCCATGTACAAAGACAGAAAAAAGAGGATTCTGTGTGAAACCATGAATCTAACATGTACAGTTCGTTTTGTTGGGGTTTTTTTTTAAGTTGCATCAGTTTTATTTGAGGTCCTTCACCATCTCAGGGGCTTTGAATACTCTCTGGCTTATCAATGTCTTTTCTGGAATATGGTGCCCTGAACTGAACACTCTCAACATGAGCAGAATAGAACAAGTCAGGGCTCTCACTTCCTATAATAATAATAAAAACAACATCAATAACAGTTGTAATAAAGCTGCTAGGGAGTGCAGTAGATAGAGCCCTGGGCCTGGACTCAGGAAGATCTGAGTTCAAATCTGGCCTCCAGCTGTTTGACTTTGGGTAAGTCACTTAGCCTCCATTTCCCCAGCTGTAAAATGGGACTCATATTCCCAGGGCCATTATGAGAATCAGATGACATAGTATGTGTAAAGCACCTGGCATATAGCAAGCACTGTATAAGTGCTAGCTATGGTTATTTTAAGATAGTAATTTCTTTTTTTTTCCACAGTGGGGAGCCAATGCATTTATCAGCAGACTATGTCCCCTTCTGAACATCCTTCTGCTCTCCTCTGGGTACTTCTATGTGTTTCATTAATACTTGTATCTTTCTTTCCTTCTTTTTTCCCATCACTATCATGGCACTTAACTCCAATAAAAGCTCTCCCTTATAACAAATTAGTATGGTCAGTTAAGAGGCATATAACTGTTTTAAGAGGAAGCAGGTGTCACAGGACAGAGACTTGGAGTCAGGAAGGTGTGAGTTAAATCCAGTCTCAGATACTTGCTAGTTGTGTGACCCTGGGCAAGTCACTTAACCTGTGACTTCCTCAGTTTCCTCATCTGTACAATGGGGATAAAAATAGCACCTAAGTCCCAGAGTTATGAAGACCAAATGAGGTAATATTTGTGAAGCACTTTGCAACTCTTAAATCACTAGACAAATGCTAGCTAGTATTATTATAGTCAAGCAAAACAATCAAATGATGGCCAAAGGCTCACTCTGCTCCTCTAACCCATCCAAGAGGCAGGAATCAGACCTCAGCAGCATCCCCAGGAGCATGATTATCATTGAACTTATTTCTGAAGTCCTGTACATTTATCATTTTACTTGGTTTGGGGTTTTTTTTGGGGGGGGGTGAGGCAATTCGAGTTAAGTGACTTGCCCAGAGTCACACAGCTAGTGAGTGTTAAGTGTCTGAGGCCGGACTTGAACTTAGGTCTTCCTGATTCCAAGGTCAGTGCTCTATCCACTGCACCACCTAGCTGCCCAATTGTGTTTTTTTTTAAGAAAAAAAATCTATTTTCTTTCCTTGCTGCCTGACCCCCCCCAATAAAATAAAACAAAAAACCTTTGAAATATGCAGTATGACTAATGAAGCAAAATGTGCATATTCAAGCAAAACAAATTCCTTTGTGTCCAAAAATATACATGTGTATATGTATGTATATATTTTATGTGTGTATATTTTTGTATGTACATACATACACATGTACATGTATGTGTGTGTGTGTGTACACAGATGTACACACGGTTTTTTTTTTTGCACCCTGAGCCCACCACTTCTCTGTCAAGAGGAGAGTAGCATCCTTCATCTAGGGTCCTCTAGAATCATGATTGGTCATTGCACTGCCTGGAGATTTTTAAGTCTTTCAAAGTTGTTACTGTATAAATTGTTCTCTGGTTCTGCTCACTTCACAATGCATGAATTTAGACAAATCTTCCCAGGCTTTTCTGAAACCCAGGATCTTCCCAACACAAGGACAGAACAGCTTCCCCTCCAGGCTAAGGGGACCAGTGAGTGTCCTGCAGTCCTTCAGGACTGAGGTAGGGGTGATAGCCCCTTGCTGGTAAAGAGGGGAATTCAGACCCTCCCCGTTGTTCCCTTTGGTGCGGGGCAGGGAAGGGAGGAAGGCACAAACTTTCAAACTTTAATGAGAAAAAGCTAATCTCATATGCCTTCCCCCTTCTATCTGAATAAAAATAATTAGCATTTAAATAGCCTTTTAATGTTGGCAAAGTACTTTGTTTTCTTGCATTTGATCCGCAAAACAACCCTGCCAGGTATTATTATTACCCTCCTTTTACAAATGATGAAACTGAAGATTTCCTTAGAAGCCAAGGGTCCCAAGGCTTGGAAGTGTCTAAGGTGAGATTTGAACTCAGGTCCTCTGATACCAAGTCCAAGGTTCTCTCCACTGTGCCACCTAGCTGTCAAGCTGACTTCTCTTACCTTGGCTGTGGACACCCTGGAATAAAGCTGACAGACTTCTCTTGATGTCTGACTCCATGATGTTGTGAGAGTGAAGATTTTGGAGATATAAAAGAGTGAACCTAGGGGCAGGTGAGACCTTCTCCTCAGCCCTCCTATAGAAAGCCTTCTCTAAAAGAGGAGAGACTTGAGGGAGTTGGAACTGACCCCCTAAAGAGGGCACAGGCTAGGTTGGGATGAGACTTCCCTGAAACTGTGATTTCTGCTTTGGGGGTAGGACAGGAGAAGGACCTGATCTTTCCTGGCAGAGTCACTGGGGCCCCATCCCTGCCCTATTCCTGGCTCTGCCCCTCCTCAAACTAGAGCCATTCCTGAGACCATTCCTGGGGAAAAGTCCCTGGGCTCCAGCCTTTCCTTGTTGCCCCCCCACCTGACCCTTCCTGCCAGCCCTCTCCTTGCCCCAATGAATACATATGTACCACTTGTCCCCACAAGTCAGCTCTTAGCTGATATTCCTCTCTAGGCCCACCCAGTTTTCAAAAGAAGACTCTTGGAGACAAAAAGCTGCCTTATTTTGATGGTGAAGATGTTGGACAAGACCACAACCTCCACAGAGACAATTGTAGGTGAGGGGCCTACATTGTCCATCACATCACAAGGCAGCATTTACCTGGACCTTGGGTTAAGTTCCCTATCTTAACCCTGGCAAATGAAGCTTCTCCAATCTATGGTCATTCCTGTCCCCTTATACTGAGACCCATCAAACTTTGACTCCTGCAATACCTCATGCATTGTCCATAGCTCTATAATACTTTCCATAATGTATATGAGGATGAGCTGGAATTGATCCTACCCCATTTTAACCTGGACAATCTTAACTACGTGAGGATACTCTCAATCACTCCCAGGCTTCAGACTAAATGCAAAAAGGCCATTTTTGCAAAAAGAGAAATGATGTTGCCTACAAAGAATTTTGGCCACACTCTGAGAGTCATCTATAAATCATCAAGGGAAATGAGGAGGGGAGGAAAGATGTTTTATGCCCATTTTTCATTATTACTACCTAAAGAAATACCTCTTCCTAACAGCAACATAAGGCTGGTTGACAGATTTTCAACTGATAATCTTTGGAATTGGGGGGAAGAACATGGCAGTGAGGGCTCAAGCTGATGGCATTGGAGAATCACTACCTAGCTTCTCAGGGGTACCCCTAGAACTCTGAGGGAGTTTGAGCCTCGAGGTTTGGAGGATCATCTGTAAGAATGGGAATTAGGATAAGGATCCTCAGAAATCATAAGAGCTATGTGAGGTTGTGTTTACTATTTAGGATATTTGTAACTGTGGGTGCCAGCCCTCCTCACTGAATGTAAATGAATTGATATTGCTTGCTAAAGAATGTATATGTCTCTTGTAGACCATGGAGGAGGAGGAAGGCCTCCCACAAAGATCTTCATCTCACGTTAAACTATCCCAGATTTGGTCATAGAGGACACTAACTTCTTAAATATAGCTTTCCCAAACTCTTTGCTTTGGTATGTCCGCATCTCTGAGTAGGTAGAACTCTGGGGAATATGTCTAAAATAAAACTGAGGTGTGGCTGACATCTAGGGTCTCTTCTGAAAAGGATTAACAATCAGTCTACTAGCATTTACTAAGCACCTACTATGTACAAGGCACAGTGCTAAGTTCTGGAGACTCTTAACAAGCTATCTTTTAGAAAAGCTTTTAGGGTACTAAGTACATATCAGGTGTAGGACAGCTATTTATTTCTTTCATCAGAAAAAAAAAGTATTTAAACCCAAAAGACTCATAAATATGCATTAACAAAAAAAGTGAAAAATATGAAATAGTAACCCCATTATCACTCTTCTTTCAGGAGGTAAAAACAACCTTATAGGACTGCTGAGCAAATGTCTTATTTTCCATCTCACCTGCACTATCTGTGCAACTCATGGCCAGTTTGTTTTGACACAAACCCCTTCATGGGGACCACAGGACTAACTAGATTCTCTTGGTCCCTCTTTTCCCTTAACAAAGGGCCAGAACACATGTGTTCCATTGGAAGTGGCTAGGGCACATGCTCATCAAAGAGATGGACCCTGCAAAATGTATATCCAGACATATACCAAGCTATAACATTAAGGATCAAAGAGGGATTGAGGGCTTTTAAGACAATGATTCACCAGGGCTGTTCCTAAAAGATAATGTTAGTTTTATTTTATATTATGAGGTGAAATGTTAATCCAGAGCTACATAACTAGGTTTTGTTGTTGTGAAATTGTCCTTGTTTAAAATTCCTGTAAACATTATTTTAAAAGATCTCATGTGAAGAGGTGAGCAAGGGCTCTCCCCTA